GCTTTTGACAGGATTAAGCACATACATCTCAAGTTTGCCAACTCCCATCTTCTGAAATAAAATGATTGGGTCAATTGTATTTCCTACATTTCTGAAGAGAGGTTCTGGCTTCATAGACAATTTATTTAAGTACTGGAGAGTGAAACAAGCTTCTTCTACGCTTCTTTTAACTCTGAAGCTTGGATCCATGTTCTTCAAGTTTTCGGGTACATTAAGGAATACAACTCCTAAATCAGGTGAGATCAGATTTTTCATCCAGTCACTGTTGGTAGTAGACCCTTGAGATTGTTCCTCTTCTAATTCAGCTATCTTTCTCTGGAGCATGCTATTGATTCCTGGCAGGTTATCATCCCCAATATGAGTGAGCAGAATAGAATCTACCCTGTCCAAATGTCGGATAAGTTTCCAAAAGCAGGATTTTCTTTCAGATCCTCCATTGATAAGCATATTGAATCCATTCACTGCAAATAATGCAGAGTCCCCTCTTCCACCTGGAAAAATGTAACAGCAGGGTTTGGAGAGTTTCAAGAAGCCTCCTGAGGTTGGAGGCTCTAAAATGTCGAAGGGCGATGGCACTTCTACTGATTCTGACAGGTATTCTGTAAATTCAGAAAGTCCTTCCATTTCAGGCAATATGGAAGATGAATTGAGCTTAATATTAATGAAGTCTTGAAGGTTGTGTCTGTCAAGGTTGGAATTTTTCCAGTCCCCTTCCTCGGGGCAGAAAAGAGTTAAGCTGGCTTTGTTGGCAGGGTGTGTGGTGCTCAGTAATTCACCAATCTACGGTTGTAAAACAAAAACAAGAAAATGCATGTAATTTTTTTTTTCATGTTAATGTATGTCAGAACATAATATTCCCTGATCCTAGAAGCTAGAGGACCTAGCTACCACAATTAGTTTACCACTATTTTTTTTTTTTTTAATGCAAAGGGACAGTTTACTCCTGGTCCCTTCCTCACTGCTCAAAGGAGGAAATAGTCCCAAGGTTTCCCCTTTTCTTCTTCTCCCTTTATTGGAGGATAGTACAATCTTTTATATTCAGAGAGGATAAGATCTACCACTGTCAGCACTGCCACTCTCTGCCACTAACTGATGAGTCTCTATGATGCTCCAATAAATCCAGGAGATCCATGCAAATACCTATGAGAAACAGCACATTCCCTCAACAGGCTGTATTACACATAGGAAGCAAGGTTTTAGCAGCAAGGGGGCTGCAGTGATGGCCTCTGTGAGCAAAGCCCAGCAGCTGCCCCATGTCAGATCTCAGCCAACTCTAGCTGCTCCAACAAGGATTCACCACTGCTAGAGCTGAGCCATGAGTGACACTGGGTGTGCTCTAGGAGAGCACGGTTAAGAAAGGGGAAAACTGCTAACGGCAGCTGGGAGAGAGGAGTAAGAAATGTGAGAGAAACAGCCCTGCAGCCACCAGGGTCAGCGCAGAAAAAGGGCAGAAGTTGCTCCAGGAGTGGTAGAAGAGGATGAATGGGAGGAAGGTGTTTGTGGATTGCTTTTAATTCTCACTGCTCCCGTCTGTCAGGTACAGCCAACAAATCACACTAACCTTACTTTCACTGAGTTTGTTTGCCCATTCATTTGTGATCTCCCTGTCCTTATCTAAAGCCGTGCACTGTTTCCATCATATTTTCACTCTCTGTTCTGCTGAGGAGTGAGAAGAGTGAGAAGTCAGCATGGAGGTGCTGAGCTGCCTATGAGTGTGAAACTACCACATGGCCTACTGTGAAAAGCTTTTTTTCTGCTCCAACCTGAACTAAAACACAGCACTAAATAGCTCCAGGTTACTACATAAGCAAACATGAGAAAGAACGACACATTTTAAATCTTCTCCTAAAGGTGAGGAAACACAGCTAATCTCTACTGTGTTTGTTCTTAATAAAGAGAACACCAAACTACATAAAATTCTTTAAAGAGCAATTCAGACATAACATATCACAATCTTCTTTACGGAAACACAATTGTCAGTTTAGCTACATGAACAGTTTCCACAAAGATGTTATACATTATGCTACAGCTGAATAATTTGAAAGTCTTGGACCACAAACTGAATCAGTGGAAAAAATGTATATATATAAACGAATGATGTTTGATTTCAGTAGACCTCTGTGGGCCTCTGTATATGCCTTGCTTCCTTTTCTTGGCTGGCTATTTAAAAAAAGTAACTGCAAACTAACAGTGACTTCTAGGGATCAAATGCATTTCAAAGAGCAGGAATCCAGTTCTTCACCAAGCCTTTCAACCATACGCCAAACAACTTTGTTTTGTGAACATTATCAAATGGATACAATAAAGTCACACTTGTGCAAACTTTACTTTTTCAGTTCTGAACTTACAAATCTTACTGCACTGAAATTCTCCTAATTAATTTTGGAAACTAAAATCCTATGGATGCAGTCATATAGTTTATTTAAATATATGACTTACACAACAGCCAAATTAAGTGTGACAGCTTGTTTACTGTGGGTTCCTGCCCTATGGGAGCTTTCAGACACAGCACATTAAGCAGGACATCAAACTAACAAGCAATGAAACAAACAGTTTTAAATATTGGTATACTTTATATTTTTGGTTAACAAGAATTGCAACATTTACAGATTTCACTAGCCAAATTTTAAACATAACAGTAAAGAAGCCAAGCAGATAGGTGTACAAAATACTACAGCTAAACAGACTGCCTCTGTTTTATTTAATGTCACCTATGGCTCAGCTGTCAACAGGCGAGAACCTCTGTGAAATTCAATTTTACATCTCTGTGTTTGCAGCTTAAATAAATCACCTATACATTTCAGGAAATACTCTATTTCCTTTTATTGTAAAAAATTCACTGGTTTTCTGTTTCTCAAAGTTAAAACTTAGTTCTCTGAATCACAATGCAATTCTTTAGTTGAACAATTCACATACACATTAAAGCAAAAGAAACAGATATTTTGGAAAAAAAGCTCATCATGAAGAATAAAAAAAATCAACATGAAGCTGTTAACACTTACACTAACTTAATCCATTATGCCATTTTTTATATTCTTGAAACCTGTGCCATCGCATGACCATGACTGGAAGATACTTTTCTAAACATACCTCTTGATCCGTGAAGATCTCAATGAAGTTCTGGAAGGAGAAGGATCCTGACTGAAGGATGAGCTCTCCTGTGTTTTCAAAACACTGTCCAGTTAGTACAAGGAGCTTGTGTCTTGCAGCATCTGTAATCATCAAACGCACCTAGAGTGAAGGAAAGAAACAGATCAACAATGGGAGCTACCATGTGTTTCTCCATTGCTCTGAGAAAGTTCCGTTCACCTCACTTAATTTAACACATGTTTCAGAGCACTATTCCAGGACTGCTGAAATATTATCGTTACAGATCTGCTAACAAAAGACAATGAGAGACGAGCAAAAGAAGGCGTAAGAAGTGATTAGGCAGAATCAAACTAAAGACATGAGGAAAAAAGCAGGGAGCAGACGAGAATAAAATCCAAATAATAAGTAATATTTTCAATTAACATTCTTCGAATAACTCTTAGTAAATTTTAATAGCACAGTATTGGGATAGCCTTTGATAACTGTCTCCAATGTACTGATGAGGAACAACTACACTTTGTTTTGGAAGGCCATTCTTTTTAACCCTCTATACAGCAGAATTTCAAGTTTGGTAATTCCTCTGTTCAAGGAGAATTAATATAAAACAGAGTAGTGATTCCAGAATATGACTATTCAGATATTAAACTAAATGAAAAGAGTCCATCTGAAACAATTATGCATGTAGATATTGCATCCAAACTCCATCTCCATGGAGATGACATAATCAGCTCAGCACTCCCAGCAAGCCATTCTTTCAAATTCATATACTGACTGTTAAGCAATCAGTTATTCTGAATAATGCCCTCTCACCCAGGGAGGCTGAGCCAGGAAGTCCTGATCTAAATCTCTGCTGAACAGCTCATGTTTTCAGTACAATTAGAAAAGAGACACTGAAGAGTTTCTGTCTGAAAGAAGATGATTACCACATCTTCACTATTTTATTAAATAAGCAACCTTGACTTTAAGCAGCAGAAAGTTTCTTTAATTAAACACAGGACTAAAGCTGGTTGATCAGTAATTGCACTAGATGATTATAAATTCAACAGTGTCCATCTGGATCAAGTCTATCTATTTCTGTTTCAGAAAAAAATACAGATAAGTGCAGTGGAGTGTATGAGGTGTGCCTGAAACCCTATCTGTTTCAGTTGTATTAAAACTATGAAAGAACTGTTTTCCTCTGCTGTCTTTTCTCTCATTGCTGGCAGCAGCTCTAGGCAGTTTGCCAGCTAATGCACAAACTCACTAGCTTTCCAACAGCAAAATTATTTCCTGATTTGTGAACCAGTAATACGTGACTGTCACTTAAGTCCCCTTCAGTCTATTCTATTAATTGATGGTTCTGCAGAATATATTGGTTCTGCAGAGATAAAAAACTATGGCAGGAAAAAAAGGCAAATAAATGCTTGCAGATTGCAGAGCATATCATATCATTCACACAAAAGAACTTCTAGAGACACATAATTCTGTGTCTGGCTGTAATCAGGGCATTCTGAGGGACTACCAGAATTTTGTCTGCTGATTTTAAACCTTCAAAAAAAAAATATTGCAAGGTGATGACTCTGTTCAACCTTACCCTTGGGTGAAGTCCCAGATTGCTTAAAGAAAGTGAATGGCAAAACATAGGCTCAGCCAAAAGCAGATTACTTATGGTACAGCTGCAGGAGTATTATGGTAATGGGGCGGGGTTTTAAAAAATGAGGGAACTGTTAATAGTTTTCAGAAATTTGTTTTCTTAGGGCAGCTCTCCCCTTTTGGGCTTCTCTCTTTTGTGAGGTATTTGACAGCTGACAGAACATGGTAAGAGCTGCGGGCAGATCCATGCTTAAACTAGCACCAGTACGCCTGTCACCAGCATCATTAGCAGAAGTTTGTTCTAACGTCTTTTGCTTTTATTTTTCTTGAATTGATAGATTCAATTTCCTCTTCTGATGAAGTCAGACCTCCATGGCATATCACTGTCTCCTGAACTGCAAGCTGGAAAACTTTTGATGCGTGAAACTCAGTTTTCTAATTTGCCATAGTGGGCAAAGAATGTCTCTTTCAATCTTCATTGTAATTCTCCTGACTCTTTCTTATCGTCTCTTCTGGCTTTTGTCCAGTGAGACTGTTGTTTAGCCAGCCAAGGTAAATCTCAGCTTCTAACTTCTGGCTGTGACCAGCTTGGCATGATGAAAGCAAAGCAAAGATTGCCTCCCACAGTCTAGTGAAAGGAAAGAAATGGTAACCCAGCCAAAAATATTCCTGAGCCAAAGGAGTAAAGCCAGAGTTCAGAAGTCATTAATTGGCCTCAGATCATGTTCTTCCATGCGTTCACTCAACAAAAGAAGACAAGCAACAGCAACAGAAACAGCATTTCCCTGCTGCTGGCAGTTCCTTCTGCACACACTTTAAAGCTTTTTATTCTGAAAGCCTGAATGTACTAAAGACAATCTTAAAAGAGCTGCTGCCCAGTTGCCCTTCCTCTAATGCAATGTAAGATATTTTCACACATAATCTTGAAGTCAATTAAGTTGCCATTAACTAAGGTTAATTAGCTGGTTTTAAAAACTTTTAAAACTTAATAAATTTCATTTGCTTCAGTGTGTTTCTTCCTGTTGTAAAAAAACAGACTTTTTTACAAAGTACTGAAAGTAGAGCCACTTCATTTCTCCAAAGGAATCATACCATGTCAGTGTTTCCCAGCACCAGCAAGCACTACAATTATGCCTGTTTTTCCAACCTTCAATCTCACTACACAAATTTCTCAGTTTTGTCTTCAAACTCCGTGCTTAGTTCTTCAGCTCTAGTAAGTTTTTGAGGAACTGGCACTATCAAGAGTCCATAGATCACGTCACATGCTCTCTGAAGGACAGAACATATGGATCATATTAGAGTCACCACTACACAGGCCGAGGTCTTCTGAGACTTAAATTTGTCTCGGAGCACCTGGTTTCTTTTCAGGCATTTTTTTTTTTTTTAAGTAAAGTAGATGTCCAGAGATATCAACAGTAGAAGAACAGAAGAAAAACAGATGTAGTTTCATCACTGGTGCTTCCCCTTCTCAGGAAGGGAAATTGGTGCATTATGAGGAAAGGAGTGCTAGAATCAGAGATCTGCTTCTGTCTTGCATCTTTGATGTCTTACCAGTAGTCTAGGAAACTAGAAAGAAAATCAAGGGAAGGCTGATAATGTTTATGGTATTTACTCCTAAAATGTTTTCATCTACAGCTAGGACCTGCTCTCACCCTGCCAACCTAACAGAGCTTTTACAACCCACCTAGTGAAATATTTCTGAGTGATTTACCTCGGTACTGACTGCTTCATCCGAGGGATTGATCAGGACTACGGTTTCTAAGACGTCACTTCTGTGGTGAAGAATTTTCTGACCTGCAAGCAAAGAAAGAAATATTAAAAAAAAGAAACTAAATTAAATAAGCCATGCACCAAGGTTCAAACCAGTTCTTTACCTGAGCAAGCTATATATTCTTTGTGATAGCTCCCTGGCTCCCCACAGCCACAGACACTGCACAGGCTCATGTTCTCAGAAACATTAATGGCACGGGGTTCCATGGGCCAGAATCTCCAGAAAATTCAAGGTAATGGGAATACATTGGCAGTAGTGGTTGTTGTGCCTTTACCATGTTACTCACCCTGGTGCCACTGAGCTGGTGTGATCAGGGATTGCCGTAACTATCACCAGCAGAGCACCTGAGCCCATGTTCTCAAGGACATAACCACCACAAATACAGCTGAGACTACACAGTCCCAAGTGGATTTAATCGAGCTTTCCCAGGAACTACGTGCAGCTCAGTTGCAGCAGCAGAGAAGTCAGCACAGGCTGCAAACTTCTCTTGCAAGGAGGAAAGTGAATATTTGTGCCACACATCAGTACTATTCACCAAGCACAGTTGGTGAGGTGATGTGAGCAGAGCAGTCCAGGGGCTGTCTCCATTCCACTCTGCCAGCAGCACACCAAGCAGACCCCAGCCTCCCCAGCTGCACCAAACTAACCAGGTTCATTAAAGCGGGCAATCAGCCCAATAAAACTCCCCTTCCAGCCTTTTCCCTAAAGTTCTGTAGCACTGGGACACACACACCAAAAAAATCCCTGACAGGATGGTTTGACACTTGCCATGCTGCCCTGCCATAGTGCTTCATCTTCCCTCTTGCAAAAACTTTAACAAGCAATGTTAGGCAGCAAGAGTGAACAGACCAGCAAGAGTGAACAGACGTGCAAAATAACAGCTAGCTCCTGGATGAATAACGTCTGGACAGTCTTGCTGCACTGCACAGCCTGCTGGCGTTGGTACTTAGAAGTTAGTTTGTCTGTGTGTTTAATAGTGATATTCATCTGACTGTGAGTGGATGCCAAAGAAACACAACAGAACTCTTGACATTTTTTTTCTTATGGTAATTGGCAAACCCTTATCAGCATCTCTTTCTGTGAGAACTGTAGTGAGATTAATTAGCAGCTGTTTTGTCATTCAGAAATCCAGACTGGTAATTAGTTCAAAACCAGAATAGCTTTCCCTTCCAAGCAAACCACTCAGCATAATATTAATTAATTAAAATAATTAATTGTACTTAGAAGGAAGTAAGGGGGGAACAAAACAAGTCACCTATTTGCCAACTTAGAAAAACTCCCCTGTAAAGAGATTTAAAATAACAAGTGCAAAAACAGTGATGGTGAAAAGGGCTCTGCATTTCTGAAAGCACAAGAGCAGCAAGGCAGTCTGAGAGGGTGGGTCACCAGCCTTTCCCACACAGCTCTGGCCCTGCCTTTGCTTGTCCTGCACCCTCCTCCTCCTCACCCTGAGCTCAACAAGGTCTCTATTTACTACATCTTCTGCTGTTGCTCTGGTGAAGCTCTGCATTTATAAGCATAACAACTTGCAATCTAACAATAGAAAGGAAAAAAAAAAAAAAAGAAAGAATGCTCTCAATTAAAATGTGAAATGGGGTTACTGCTTACTTTCTTTTGCTTCACAGTGCCTAAAGATCTGTGGATAAAAATCAAATCCATTTAAAGAAACCCACTTTTCTTAGGACCTGTGGCCTTGTATATACTAATTTGAAAGAAGGAGACAGACCTTATGGAAGGGGAGGTCTTCCTCTGCAGCATCCCGTTCTAGCATTAGCCTTTGTAATTCAATTTATTTTAATAGGTCTGCTTCCTTGCCTAACAGGAATGCATACATAAGGTTACATTCAATAAAACATCCAGCTGGCTCTGTTACCACAGACTCCTTCAGAACACACCCTTTGATCAGATATTTTAGTTACTACTAGTCTACTACTAGATACAGGCTTCTGTCAAATGGAGAGATTTAACAGTTTGTTGAATCTACTCTTTAACGTTGGGAAGGAAACAAAAGAAACTGTCACCCTCTAGCTGCCACAGAAATTTCTCATGTTACAGCTGATGACACAGAACACACACTTTGCTTCAGGCCAAACTAAGTCTCATATATGATTAGATGTTAACACATTAAATGCAGCTGGAAAAGAAATGCATTCAGCCGCATGCAAAGTTAGACAAAGATAGTGTACACCACACTCAACATGATGACTTGGGGCTTCACTAACATGGCTCCAAGCTACCTCTGTAGATGGGACAAAACAGACCTGAGGAGCCAAAATGCTTGCTGACCACCACTGTTGGTGGTTACTTACTGCAACTTACTGAATTATAGATGGAGTGGGAGAACTGAGGATGTGCACAAAAGATCTGGGGTTGCTCTAAATTAACTCTACTGATTTTTACAGCCTATCTCTACCCTTCTGTTGGAATGGTTTTGTGACACGATAGAGAAGAAGGGAAGAAGTTTCTAGATTGCACAGTAGTGGTTGGGTATCCAGATTTTATACACCTTTAGTTTCTGGAAGGCAAGACAAAATCCTATCTAAAGATTCAGGAAATAAACATTAATTCTCTTCAGAAGAAATTTAAGTTTCTGTTCATCGTTAATTTTAGTAATTTAAGCTTCACATTAAAAATATATATGAATGGAGTCATGGAAGCTGTTTGATTCAGAATCAGTGCAATAGAGTAGAGAAGTAAACAGCGCATGACAGTTACTTCATCCCAGAATCATCCCAGTTCCTATGGCCATGGGATCTCACAGATCATTGCTTGACCAAATACTGATGATATCTATACTAGGATTATTGACATCAGTCTTGCTTCTAGGGAAGTGACTCAACAGGCTTCTAACTTGGTCTTTTCAGGCCAATCAAGCAGCATGATTGCAGGACCCACTTTTAACAGGGATTATACTGCAATTAATTTTGTGCAAACACAGCATATGAGTGCATGGTAAGAGAAAGCAAGTAAGTGCGGCTTCAGGTCCCTTTGAAGCAAGGACCACTACTGACAGTCTTCTCTTCTCTGGCTTTGACTGTGCAACATCAGCCCATGGGGATGCATACTCTAGGCAAAATGCTACTCAACAGAATAGTTCCCATCAGCCCTACCCACAATGAGGATGGACGCAAGCACTCCCTCACTTCCACCATGGCTATTCCCATGCTATCAAATCCAGTAAAATTCAGAACAACTCATCCATAGAGAAAGCAGAAAAATCTTTTCTGTGGTGATTCTTGGAGAAAGTACAACGGGAAAACACCTTCTCTCCACAGATAACCATCATTTCGTACCTGAACTAACATTCAGATGCAACTCTTCAGCAACCTTTAATGTCTTTTCTATTTCATCGTAAAAAACTTCAAAGTATTGTTTGTCTTTCGTATTAACAGTATATTATGCCAGTTACTACACTGGTGGCATTAGCAGATGGCACAGCTTGCAAGGATTCCCAGTGAAACCTCTCACAAGTCTTAAGTAGACACTGAACTCTTTGCAGCTGGAAACGTTTAGCGCTTTGTGATTGCAAATAGCAGCAATGCCCACAATTCCCTAGCTGCTTGCCTCTTGTGGAATAACTTCCGTACAATGACGGGAGGAAAAATCCTTTGAAATGAACCATGAAACATTCATTTCTAGAGTTCTTGAGAAGACATCTTAACAGAAAAATTCTGAAGAAGAGACATTTTCCCAACGAGGCAATGTTGCGTTTGAGAAGCAGCAATGCGTAAAATTTTTCCTCAACGTTTCTGAGTACAGATGGCAGAACAGGTTGGTATATTTTAGTTCCTATTCAGGATAAAATCCTGTTTATTGTTATTAGAGACACAGTTACTTCTTAAAAGCTTTACCCAATGGCTTTATGTCCATGTTAAGCAAGAGCTGATGACTGAAAGATATTACTAGGTAAGGATTTTGTATATGTGAATGTATAAAGCTTCAAGGCAGGCTTGTCTGAAGCACTAAGATCAAAGCATGGGCAAGTGAGACACTTCTTAAATATTTATTTTATAGAAGAAAATATACAAGGAAAAAAAAAAAAAAACAACCAACATGTAAAACAGGTAAAAACTGAAGTAACAAAAAGCCTGAGGCATACAACAAGATGTCAGTGCACAGTATTCAAGCTACTAAGATTCTGATAGAGTA